CCCTGTAACCATGTAAACTTCAAAGTAGCATCAGCCACTCAGTTCCCGTCAAAAATGACTGTAACCTTCAGAAAGTATTCAGTATTAGTGGAAGATTATAGACCATGGCGAAAAACTCGTGTGTGATTCACTAAAGGGCCATCGGGTTTCCAGAGATCTTCGGAAAATCCTCTGGGCTAAACATTTGTATGCGGGATTTGCTGGTCATTTTGCTAGATTGTCCGAGTAAAACTACCCATCTGCTGGGAAGGTGGCTCATTTCGGATGAGAACTAAGTGACTGATGCTACTTTGAAGTTTACATGGTTACAGGGAAAAAACGGGTTAGCTGAAGTTCCTTTGATCTGAAGATGAAAATAAATAATGCCACGATGATCAGGATAGCTGATTACCTCTGGCTCGAGTGTTTTTGAGATTTCCAAATCTCCAGACTTAAACATAGTATGGTCTGTGGAGAACATCTCTAGCTCCCAGATGATAAGAGATGGAAATCTGAGATTTGTCGAGAATTGTAGATCAACACCCACGGTCTCCAGTTCACTGTTTGGAATCAAAAATCCAAAACTTCTTCAATGGTGAGAAGGTTTCTGCAAAACGTTTTGAAGAGACTTACCACCTGCAGGTAGTATTTCTGAATTTATTTTTCCATAAACGGATAGCCCCCAGATTCTACTCTCTAAAACTGAAAACCGTAGCTCTCTATCATTTTTCGTTAAAAAGTTATGCGCAAAATAGCGGACTGCACGGTTCATTGAAAAAGATGGTAGTACAAAATATCTTGAAGAGAAGTTCTGCTGTGCTTTCACATATATACTAAAATAGATCATAACAATGATAAGCAAATACATAGAGTTAAAATGAGTTCGACTTGACCCTAATGAAATATTGAGATGTCGCAAAGCTTTGAAAATTTTTCATTTCAATAATATATGCTTGTTAAAACAAAACGATGAACGAAGTTTGCTCCCATCGCGATTCTACTTCATATCAGAGAAAATCGTCATTGTGACATAAGAAAACCTTACCTTAACCTGAGTGTTATAGTAAGTTGCAAAACGATTTTTTTAATTCTTGCACGATCAAGTTAAGAATAAAGCAAAAGAGTTGGCTTGAGAGCAGCATAATTGAGAAATACTGTAAATAAGAGAGTAGCACCATATATGGCTGAATGAAAGTTATGTAGAAAAGGTTTCAAAGGAGGAGGTTGGCGTAAATACGGACGTTCGTTTTAGCTGTTCTCGAGTAAATATTGTGTAGCATTCTAAGAATCAGCCTCTGTTGTTGATACCGTCTTGTTTTGGAGCAATGAAAAAATGAATGTTAATGGCATGACAGATGATATATGAAATATGTTTCGTTGATAATTAACTTGAAAGATAATAAGTTTATGAGTTTTTCACAATATGTTTAGATGATGGATGGACGCTGATGTTGACAAAACGTTACGATGAAAATTAAACGTCGATCAAGTAGTGTTCATCCAACGAACATTGCACTAGAAAACCAGCTAATTGGTAAACCAATTAGTCCACTGCAGAAACACCATTGTACAGATATTCTATGTTTAATAATATTTTTCTTATTTATTATTGGTTATATAATATTTGCTGCTATTGTCTTCACTAGTGGTAATCCTAGTCAACTTCTACATCCAACAGATTCTCAGGGACAAATATGTGGCGAAGAGCCGTATGAAGATAAAAAATATTTATTTTTCTTTGATATTACTCAATGTTTGTCATGGACAACATTAATTCAACGTTGTTCAACAAAACAAATATGTGTTCAACAATGCCCGACAACGGATATGACTAATGCTATTATTGATGCACGTTCTAATTTATTTCCATCTAATCGTCAGACATATCGTTCACAACTCGTTTGCGATTACGGTATTGATCCAAATATGGCTCCCTACGACACACTTACTGCAAGTCAATTAGTTCAACAAGGAAAATGTGCTTCATACACATTAGCATCTTCATCGATAGCTGGTCGATGTTTTCCGACAATAGTTAATCTTGGATTATCGGACACAGCCATCATTTACAATGATAATGACACAAATCAAAATTTTACATTTAATGCATCAAATGGTCAACAATTAACAACAAATTTGATTAATCAAGCTATTCAAATTGTTCAGAAATTATATGGACTGCAAGTATTTGCTGAGAAAATTGGCCACGATATTTATGAAAGTTTAACTTTCATTGCTATTGGTTCGATATTGGCTATTATTTTAACATTTCTAGTGATTATTCTGATGCGTTATTGGGCTCGTCCACTTGTATGGTTAATATTATTGGCACTTGTTGGTGGTTTAATATTTTCAACTTATTATACGTTTAATCAATATATAGTATTACGTTCACTTAATACAACATCAACTGCAACATTTCAATTTCAAACTGATATAAGTGATTATTTTTCGTATCCTCAAACATGGTTAGCATTGGGTATTATAAGTGCTATTGTTCTGCTTATTGTTTTATTAATTCTATTTGTTTTACGAAAGAGAATACGTATTGCATTAGCATTAATCAAAGAAGCAAGTCGTGCAATTGGAAAAACACCTACCACATTAATTTGGCCTATTATACCACTTTTATTGTGTATTGGTATTATTGTTCTGTGTGGTTCAATGGCTGTGTTCACTGCATCCTCATCAAAACCATTGTTTATTGTGGTTAATGCATCTGCGAATTGTTGTTCAACATACACCAACGGTTCATATTGTATTCCAAGTAGTTTTAATGCAATGTACAATAACACTGGAGCTAGTTGTGTATTTTTGAACTACGGTTATGCTGATAATTATGCCTTTGAGTACGTATAAATAGAGTTACTATTTTCTGAAAGCATCATCCATCATAGTTTGAACAAAATATTATTATAGAATTTATAAAATGTTGTTTTTATATTTCTAGTCAGTTACCTCAGGTTCATCAATATTACAGAGAATTTATTCGATTTCTTAACAAGTATAAGTTTATTCCACATCTATATAATCTATTTGGTTTTTTATGGTTTTCTACCTTCATCACCGGTTTTCATCAACTTGTACTAGCTGGTGCTTTTGCATCGTACTATTGGACAATGGACAAAACTCGTTTTATTGGTTTTCCACTATTATCTTCTATTAAACGTTCATTGCTTTATCATGTTGGCTCTGTTGCTTTTGGTTCATTGATAATAGCCATTATTAAGATGATTCGAATTATATTTCAATTTATTGAAAATCGTTTAAAAAATCGTCAAGGCACTGGAATATTACGTTGTTGTATAAGATGTATCGGTTGCTGTTGTTTATGTTTTGAAAGATTTTTTAAATTTATTAATCGTAATGCTTATATCATGATATCAATCTATAGTAAACATTTTTTACATTCAGCTAAAACTGCATTCAAATTAATTATTAATAATCCATTACGTGCAATTGTACTCGATAAAGTTACAGATTTTCTCATATTTCTAGGTGTTCTATTTATAACAGCATTAATTGGAATTTTGGCTTATCTATTTTTTTCAGGTAAAATATATTTAACAAAGATTGGTTTAGTACGACCAGATTTAAATTATTTTTGGTGTCCAATTATTCTCATTGTGATTATTACATTTTTAATTGCTATTAGCTTTTTTGATGTTTTCGAAATGGCTGTTGATACATTATTCCTCTGTGCATTAAAAGATATGGAAGTGAATAATGGTACAATTGAAAAACCCTATTATATGACAAAAAGTTTGGCAAAAGTTCTTAATAAATATAATAAAGTACCTCAGGCAGTCGAAGGGAAATGAGATACTGTCTGATTGTTGAAGAACGGATGATAACGAATTGTGAAGAAGGAATTCCGGTGAATTTAAATATTTTTTCTAATGGAATATTATTTTTTAAAAAGGATGTTTTCACATCTATAGTGATGTTATTTTTTCCAATGCAATATTGTTGTTAATTTTTGCTATTAAAATACATTATTTTAATTATAGTTTTTAATTCTGTTGTTTTTTGTTGTGTGCCTTTTTTTGATTATGAACGTGATACAAGCTTTTGTTCGAGTAAAATTTACGTTATCTTTGAGGTAAAAAATCTGTTGCATCGAATAATCTTTGAAGATGACCATCTGTCTCTTTACTATTTGTCAATCATAGATGGTCTCTGAATATTCGCTATTGATCAAATTAAAATGAATATTTTGCGCTATTACTTACTCAATAAGATGAAAAGTTAGCCAAAATTATTTATTTTATTTAGAGAAAGAATCGGTTTTCTGTCTATACTGCAAGATCATTTCGTTGATTATTATTGAAGTATACCAGAAAAATGAAAAATGCTATGTTTTTCTGTGTCTGTTACATACAGACTATCATCAACGAATAGTATTCCCACGGGTCGATTAAACATCTCATGTCGTAATTCTCCACGATATTCCCCATCGATTGTAAAGACAAAAATTGATTTGGCATGCGATGAAACAACAAATAATAAATCTCGAACACATCGAATTGTACGTGGTGCATCAATACGCAAATCCAATGAGGAATCGGGGATCATTTGTAGAACTTCACCTTGTTTTGTTAATGTAATAATACAACCTGTACCAGCACATGTAACGTATAATGTGTCATTATAGGAACACACGTATCGAGGTGAACTTTCAGGACCTGTTGTAAAATCTCTATTCCATTTATAATCTTTTGAAAATATGACCAAACGATCATTATGTGTGTCACAAATAATAACTTCATCTTGTTCATCAATCGTTATTCCAGTTGGCCTATTAAATGTCTAAAATTTATGTTTTGAGTAAAAAGAACAGAGGTACGAGAGAAATAATGTTTACATTTCGTGTTCTGCCTGATTTGTTACTTCCGATAACATCGACCTTACGAAAATTTTCGTCTAATATAATTAATTTATGATTATCAGTTATCAAATAACGTTTGTCACGAGAAAAAACAACGTCTCGAGGTTCACGGAAACCAATGATCGTACGAACATGATTAAAATTGCACGTTAAAATTTGTAAACGGTTATTTTCTACTTCGACGATCACTAAATGACCGTCACCATTCACCGTTAACCCTGCAGGACCTACAGGAGAAAAACATATGAGTAAAAAAAATAATAGTTGGTAGTAAGGATCAGTTACCTTTAAATTCTAACTTGCCACTACCTTCTTGTCCTATAATCTCCATTTTACCTGTTCTCGCTGCAAAAAACATAATAAAATTGAATTAAAGCAACGATTCATATTTGGTTCTACATACTTGATACAATAGAAGCTAATTTACCATCTCCAGCTGCTGTTGCAACACTGTTAGGAGCATTTAACGGCCGATCAAGAACAAGTGAACCGGCTAATTCATCACCAATTTGAAATGTTGACGGATTAAACTGTATTGTTGGTGTAAATTCAATTAAATCTTTAGCCAAAACAAGTAAACGTTTTCTTGGTTCTAAGCATTGTTGTTTGACACGCAATAGTAGTTCAGTTTGAACATTAACATCGCGCAGCAAATGGCGTGTATCATCAACAAACTTCTAAAAGAAATATTGGAAGTTGTAGAAGATTTATGATGTTGTTATTCAATTTACATCGATGGTTTGTATTTCTGTGTGTAATCGATTAACAGATTGTGCCAAATCTGTCTGTCGTCTATCATGAAATTCCTGTATTTTTTGACATAGACGTTCATTAATTACTTTTAAATATTTTTGCATTTCATCTACACGTTTATTTGCCGCTTGAAATGTCTCATCACAATGATAACGAAAATTATCAGTTGAATCACCAAGACCAAGTTTTATATTTTCCGATTGTTTTTCTAAATCACCAATTTCACGTGTTACCTCTTGTATAACTTCTTGACGATGTGATTCCAAACAATTAACACATGCTAATCGGGTACAATGAGTACATGATGTTATTGATGGCAGAGAATTACATATTTTACATTGAGTATTTTGAACAATATCAATTTTTCGAATATGTAACAACTGCATCAATGCAACATTTTGTGATAATAATTCACAATTAATCATTGTATGATTAGTGAGACAAGTCGGACAGCTCATTGTTGTACTTTCCAACATTGCATGTCGAATACAATCGATACAAAATGTATGACCACATGGTAGAATACTGAAAATTTATATGTCATATGACTGATTTAAAATTAAATTCAAAGAACATATTGAGTGAGAACAATGAGTGAATTGAAATCTCTGAATATTCAAAAGAATTTAGCTTAATCAAAAAGCTGTATGCGTATCAAATTTCAAATAGAAATAGAACAAAAACTGTCGATGGATAAAACGACATTTAAAACTATGAATAATACAAAGATGTAAAATATTTATTATTTTTTTATTGATTTTTTAGTTGTTTTACTTATGCAGAACTAAATATACAAACTATATATCTTTTGATAATACACATGCTACTATATTTATCTCGAAAATGAGTTTTGCTCACAAAAATGAATTTTCTGAAGTGATTACGTTCACAAACAAAGCTCATACAGCAAAGAGAACTCTCATATCATCAAACCGAAAAATTTTAAAAACTTCTTTGGTCAAAACTGATTGCAGATTCGTCTTTTCCATAGTCGATTATCTTGTACATGATAAATCTCGGATCGAGAGACTTTAGAAAAAAATTTTCTCATGGTTTTTGTTTAAACATTTCTGAAAAAAACCGTTGCCAGAGGCCAAACCATATTGAAAATTTTTTCTGAAGTACCCCGTTCCAAAAATTATCATGAACAAGATAATCGACTATGGAGAAGACAAATCTGCAATCGGTTTTGACTGAAAAAGCTATTTTTTAAGATTTTTCGATTTGATGATATGTTTGTTCAGAGGTTAATGCTATACGAATAGACATGATGCAATGTTCCATGGGATTTTCAAAATTTTAGTTTTTTCTTCTATTTTCTGTTCAATTCTCTAATGTTTTTTGCCGTTAAATCTTGATATTGTGAATAATTACCGTGGATCTTTATACGTTCGGTTACAAAGCGAGCAACTTGTAGCCTGTCGAATATAGTCGAAATTGCAGACAGCATACGTCATTGCTGTTGCTGTTCTTTGCAACGAAAATAGTACAAACAAAATTTATTTATGTTTTCTCAATGTTATTAATTTTAGATATCTTTTCTATGACGAAACAAGCAAGAAAGAAAAAGAGTTGTCAAAGCAGACAACCAAATGAGTTAAATATACTTTAAAAAAACGAAATCTTTTGCTTGACCAATGGCGCGAAGTGCTGACTTGTTATAGGACTTCAGTCTATATGAAAAAGTAGATATAAATGTTTTACTTATCTCACATCTTTTCTTAAACTGAATTCTCTCCATAGGCAAATGCACGATGTTGTAAAAAGTATTTTTCAATATCTTCAATGGTGAATTTAGAAAAAAGTTTTTAGTAGGAGCGGTTTGATAAAAAAAATTTCTTAGTAATTACTCTTCGTCGAAAAATCATCAGAAAAAGTTTTTTTGATGGTATCACAATTTTCGCCAAACCCTCTGAAACCATCACTGATCTCCAACACATATGTCCGCCTCCACACAGTTAAGGTAAAAACAGAATGGAAAAAGTTATTTTGAGTTAATTGTATATGCATTGATAAAATTGTCTATTTTATGATCTATCACGCTTCATTTTTGCCTTAGTTTTGAGTTCATATGTGTTTTTTTTTGTATGTCGCTAGATTAGGGGTGGGACAGTTCCAGTTCCTATAGTTCCTAAGAACTGATCATTAGTTCAGTTCTTGTTCAACGGGAACTGGTACCAGTTCTTTTCAAGAATTCAAAGTAAAATAAAACCGATGTAGCTGATTATATTGATTTAGTTTAGTCAACTAAACGCACCAGATACCTCTGGCGCATTACACGAAGTCAATGTAAGTAGAGTTATCTGTTTTATTTTATTTTTGATTTTTGAAAAGAACTGGTAAGCAGTTCGTGTTCAACAAGAACTAAACTAATGATCAGTTTTCGTTCAAAAGAACTGAACTGGAACTATCTCACCTCTACGCTGGATTGATGCTGATTGTTTGTCATAGGGAACTGTTTTTTCTCGCATTTTGATCGGTCACCATTATAGTTCTGACTAAATACTTAGAAAGGATATGTTTTTGTGAATACTATGTGTAATTTCAGTATGAATCAAAAGATGGATTAACTCTTGGTTTCTGTCTAATCCAAGTGAACAAGTTCTATATTAGAACTCATACCACTAGTGGTTTTCAGCGTATGGTCTTGAAAAAGTAATTATTTAAAACAAATGTAATTCCTTCTTCATTACCGTTAGAAGCATCGATTTTTAATATCAAGTATAGATAAAAATGTAAGGGCATTAATTTAAGAACGAAAATTAGTGATACAGCAGCGTGTTTGAAATTCATTATTTTAATTTTGGGTTTTTTTTTTAATTTTATTTATTGACATTTCGAGAATACAATTTTCATTGTCAAAAGAAAAGAGGACATGTAACAACAGGGGAGATATTTATCGTAAAATAAAATTGAAAATATGCACTAAAAATATTTTAAACATGCTTGTGAAACCCATTATATCAAAATCTTGTCTGATCTATATAAATGTTTACCATAAAAAATAATGGTCAAAATTGGAAAATATTTTTTTCTGTGCGATGTAATAAACAGTTTCTACTGTAGTCAAAAATATGTGGTTTTAATATTCTAACACTATTTCTCTGAAGATCTCACAGGAAGCTGATAGTGGTATATCGAGACCAAATTTCTACTATCCAAACGTAGGCTAAATCTTTGCATGATATTTAGAAAAAGATGTTTTTTTTAATCTCCATTCAGTTCAAACTTTCAGATACATTTATAGACGTCTATGAAATACGTTTTACTAATATACTCAAAAAGTGAAAATAGAAATTAGTTCTCAAAAAGTTTTTCATTGAATCTATCCGAAAAATGAAAATATCTGAAGAAATTTTTTGCTTTTCTAATGTGGCAAAAAATGATATACGAGATCAAATTATGTATAAGGGCAACAATTCTACATTTGTGGAATGTATCTTGCTGAAATAGAATAGCTTTTATTTTTATTCATGCGATATTAAAAGTGCCGATTCGCAGCAGTATTTAATATGGTTAGAAACGCAGCGTGAGTTCCTCCACATACTTCATATCAGATCTTCTCAGAAATAAACGGACGAAATTGCCTTTATCTTATTTTCAGAAATATCTCTCCTTTTTTTTTTCTTTGTTTTTTTTGTCAATAAAAATAGTTCCGTTCCCTTTTCCTCTTTCCATACAATCATTTATGTATTACACGCTTCTTTTGTGTCATTTAAACACACAATTATCGAGGCTCTTTACTGCCTCTTTTATTGATCGGAAATCGAAAATTTTTCATGTAAGTAGACAGTCTACGCTACGTTTTATTTTATATAGTAGTTACAAAATCCTGAGAGTTTATTACAATTTCGAAAAATTAATAAAATATTAGATTTACAAATCATTTTATCAGACATAAACATGATGATCATTTTTATGTTCGCCATTTTCAAAGTTCTATGAATATTCCTTTCAATAAATTAGTTTGCTTGAAAGATATGCATATATGTATGAAATATACTGTTGAAAAAATTTCAATGTATGTTTTTACTACTAAAACATTTACTGAAAGTAGTATCAAAATATCAAATAAAAATTACTTTCAAGACTTTATTTCATTCTAATATTGATACTGAACATAATGAAGAAATTGGCACTATCTAAAGTAGAAGCTTGTGCACATGCTGAGTACAAGTAAGATATATTCAACTACTATGAAGAAAAAAAAGAAAAAATATGCAAATAAAAACTTATGTAATATTTCTAAAGTAAAGATTGACCTTTTTTTGTACAAACGTTGTTGTATACGAAAGGGAGCGTTACGTGTTGTATATGTATAACTAAAAAATATGCATATACAACATACAATCCTTGTTAATTGCTTTTCAATAGACAAAATGAATTTTGATGATAAATTTTTTTTTTTTTTTTTGCAAATTCCTATTTACTATATGCTTGAAATAATGTCAAAAATTGTTGAACATCCTATATTTGTTGTTATGTATACTAACAGAAATAAAAGATCACATTTTGTCAGGTCAAGAGTAACAATGTTGTTCTTCAAATAAAAAAAGTGTTAATCATCAAGAAAAATAGACACACATACACATACAAAGCTTTGGCTATTTTCTCAATTTTAACTTATTGTTTGTACATGAAAATGATCCTCATCATTTACTATAAATCTTATTTTCATACTAAGAAAGATTATAAAAACAAAAAAAAAACCTGTTAGCAGTACTTATAATTGAGTTTGAGCGGCATAACTTTGAAGGCATTTTATAAAAGCCCCTTAAACTAAAACTGAAACAAATAAGTAGAGCTTATTTCTTTTTCTTATAAAAGATAACGATGATCAAACTGTAAGAAAAATGCATTCATACAAACTTGGCTATACAGTAATTTCGTTATTATAAATAAAATCGATCCTATATGAAAAATATCATAAATAAATTTCTTATTTTTTTTTTCTTTTATTTTTCTTTTTATTTTTATGAAATTCTATGATATTATAACCATGTCTTCTAACAAAGATAGATAATAATCGAAGCTGTAAGTTATGACATTTTTATCCGATAAACTTCGTATGGATGTACTTTCATATCTAATACAATGAAAACATCGAGCTGCCGGTCAGATCGTTAGTCTATGTTTTAAAGGTAACTAATCTGCTGATTAACGCATATTAAGTTGATATCATCATACAATTTTTTCGAGCAAAATACACGGTAGAGAATTTTTTTTTTTTTATCAACAAACTTTCTCAGATTTCTAAACAGATGGTAAATATATAAACATACATGAATTTTTGTAAATAAAGTCTTTCTATCCTTGGTATATAGTGCCTTTCGGTTCTTTTTTTTTTTTTTTTTTTATCTTTATTTCTGTTTATTCTATTAAAAGTGAAATGGATAACCTTTCTAAAAAATATGTATCTCTATCTGATGAAAAGAAAAAAGAAAAACTATTAACATAT